GGCTCTCTGGATCCCGGGGAAAAAAAAAAAAAAGAAAAAAAAAAAAGCTGCAGCCCTGGGAGAGCAGGCAGCACCACCGAAATCCCAAATCAAACGCAAAACAAAAATGAAGGGGCTTTTTAAGGCTATAAAAGTGCCATAAACTTTAAGGACGCTTCCTTCCACAGAAAGCCCGGCTCGCTCAGCCCCCAGAAGAAAAGGTCTCCTTCAGGGTAATTAAACTATAAAGCAATTTACAAGTGCAAAAGTTTACCCCCATAAAGCAGTAAAATACAGTCACTGGGGAAGAAAAAGGGAGCGAAAGAAAGCAAGAAAGCAAGGGGGGGCAGAAAGAAAGCAAGAGGGCTACTTTATGGGCTCAGGAAATGCCTCCTCGCTGTCCTTTCCATCTCGCCTCACCTTGCGGTCGCATCCAGGGGAAAAGCTGGGTCGGAGAAGGGCTCTGCTCCGAGCTCTCCGCCTCCTCTCCAAGGCCGCTGGCAGCAAGCTTGCAGTCCGTGTACTGCACCAAGTCCGACTCCTGGGCGCTGAAGAGGCTCTGCCTTTGCAAGGGGTCGTAGCCATAGAAGTTGCTGGGGTCCCCATGGCACGCCACGGCGCAGGGATTCTGTTGGTAAGGGGAGCTGGAGAGTGAGGATGCTCCGTGGTAAAACTCCTGGATTTGGGTCGGATGCTGGAAGGTGCCCCCCGTGCTGGGTCCGTACACCACCGTGGGTCTGCCCCCAAGATCCTGAGCGAACCCGCAGTCATAGTAATTGGGACGCAAGGAGTCCCCGGTTTTGTATTTGGAGAAGAGTGAGTTGACAAAATAAGAGCTCATTTTAATTTAAATAAGAATATTTGTTTGGAGGAGGAAGAAAAGGGGGAGAGAAAAAAAAAAAAAAAAAAAAAAGAAGCCAACCAAACCAGACCACGGGAATCTATTAGCAAAAAAAGAAAGCGCTAAGATGCTAAGCAACGACAGTTTGTGATTTCCAGGAATATAAAAGGAGGATATAATCAAAACTCTAAGCCTGCATGATATTGAATTCTTTCCTCCCCCCCACCCCTAAAAAAAAAAAAAAAAAAAAAAACCAGGTTGCCACTTAAAGAGTTCTCGCTTTACATTTCCAAGAAGAGATGCCAGTTCATAAACAGTTTTCAGTGATTTACTTCAGCGCAAATGAGTTGTTTCATATTTTGCAGTGTCTTTTCATGATCATTTGCATCTATTACCAAAACCTCATCCTATTGGCTTCTCCTTACTCCACACGGACTCTGCACTGCATGATTGTGAAAGGAAGAGTGTGAGAGAATAAAGAAGGAAAAGCAAGCGAGGGGGAGCGAGAGAGGGAGAGGGAGCGAGAGAGAGAGAGAGGGAGCGAGAGGGGAAGGGAGAAGGAGGTGGGGTGAATATACGGATTAAATATGTTTAACTACCTACATTAATGAGATATCGCTCGCCTCACAACAAATCACATACCTAGACCACCCAAAAGATTGATTTTTGGGGAGTGTTGGAAAATTAAAGAGAAGCGCTCGCAGTCGTTAATTTCAAAATTTTAACGAGGCAGTTTTAGCCTTTTTAAATGTCAGGGTCGCTTTGGAAAACTGTAAAAGAACACGATTTAATTGCTACCAGTTTTAAAAGGTCCTATAAATGTAATTGGTATTTTAATACAAGTTATCAAATCATACAGCTTCTTACCCTAAACATATTTTAAAACAAACGAGGTAGTCATATTTAACATTTTAATGATCAATTTCCTTATTATTGATAAAGGTTTAACTATCACATGAAGGGAATTGCATTTGTAATAGCCCCAAAAAAGGCTGTAAACTGTTTAACAAACTATAAAACGCCATAAAGCCGGGGATGTTGTTGTTGTTTATACCGCACTACATAAAAGCCGTTAGGATTTTACGAGTTCGTTCCTCTACTGCTATAAACCAGAGGTTTCGATTGGACCCGTCCGCATTACAGCGAGATGTTGAGGTGTCAATATTGAATTAAAATGATTATAGTTTTTCATATATAACATTGACTTTTTGTGTCTCTCCCGCAGCCCCCTCCCCGCCTCCTCCCCCGCCGAGGACTCGTTCAAGATGTGGTCGGGGATGATTGCGAACTAAAAGTATTGTGTCGCTTATCACACCCAGAACAGAACCTTTATGGTCAGTAACTGATGGCTGTTCCCTACCTCACCCCCTCCTCAATAACTTCAATTTTTTTTCCTTTTTTTTTCTTTCTTTTTTTTTTTTTTTTGCATGATACTTCTAATGAAAACTGGGGAGAAGAGGGGGATGGGGCGAGGGAGAGAGGAGAGAGGCTTTCTGTTTTATTGGCATTTGGTAACAACGGAGCAAACTTACCCCGAAGATGCCAACGCTGCAATTTTCCACCATCTAAACACACAGGGGGTAGATTTTGAAATTCATTTATCGCAGTCAGCAAATATTACCGAGACGCGTTTCAGCTAATAACGACACCAAACCCTCCCAACCCAAACGCTGCCCCAGCCTGCCTAACACCCACGACGCCCCTCCAAGCCCCTCGATATGCCAGCTATATTTTCCAATCCTTCAACCTCCAAGAGGACTCGAAGACGCTCTTTTAAACCTCTTCCCCCCCCCCCCCCCCCACCACGCCCCGCCCGGGGTAGATTTCTGCCGCTTCCCATTGCATCCGTCTGCGCGGTTTTGACACGCGAAAGGTGAATTAAAGACGGTTTCACTCGTGCCTGCCTTCGGCTGAGGGACAATTTTCAACCTCCACGACATGGAAAAGAGGAAAAAGTTGAACCGTTTCGGTTTATCCGTCTTGCCAGGGCTTTGGTAAAAAAAAATACTTCGATTAAAATTGGCAGTGGGAACAGGCAGGGAATTAAGAAAGGCAGAAAGAAAGAGAGAGAGAGAGAGAAAGAAAGAAAACAAAGATAGTAACGGAATGAAACTTTAAAACCATCCTTAGAGAAATAAATTAAGTAAATACGTTTCCTTTATTTTGTGCAGGGATAATTTCAGTCGCGTCTAAGAGCCTTTTCAAGTAATTATTGTTGTTGGAGTACTTGCAGTGGTATAATTAAGGCTTTCCCCCCCCTAAAAGACAAGTTAACATTTTATTTTTCTCAACGCTTTTATTGTCGATTGAGCAGATTTTGGTTTCATCTTTGAACATAAAACCCCAGAAACGGTGCACAGAAGTAACTAGAGCTTTGCAGCCTGGCGTGGGGATGCTCGACGCCAGAATTTTCAAGAAAGCAAAAAAAAAAAAAAAAGAATCGACTAAAGTATTTTTAGAAGAGAAGCTCTCTTCTTCTATGTGTATTTAGAGGCGTACTCCCCCCATCCGAGTTTGTAAAGTAAAAAATAGCAGGAATTCCCGTTCCTACGTGGACCCCAAGAAGGCGGGAGTGAAGTTGTTCTTGGAAGTTAACGTTTTTATCAAGTGCAGTAGAATTTTATGGTCGTGATGTGACGGTAACTCACCAATGCACCAGAAATCAATGGCCGATCCTAAATCATTCATATACTGTACTCGGATTCCTGATGAAAGGAAAATGTTTCTATTATAAGAAAAAACAAGTGGGGATGTGTGTGTGTGCGTGTGTGTGTCTGTGAGGGAGAAGATAATTTATAAATACCCAGCGGAGGAAAGATTTATTAGGAATTCACAAGGAAAAAAAAAAGAACCCCAAACCCTTTCCTAGGTAAACCTTAACTTTTCACTACTCTGCGTTTTACTGAAGGCACAAGGGCAGGCTTTTTCTTTATTTTCCCCATCTATTCCTGTTTACATTTGTATTTCATTTTCTAGCATTTAAACAGAGCCTTGAGATGCTCAAACTTCGCTTTTTAAAGCACCACACCGCATCCCGTTCTGGGGTGTGTGTCGGTTTAATTTGCTACATTCTTCCCCAGAATGCTGCTTATTGGGGAAGGGGCGTATTTTCTGCTGGAACTTCGAGAAACGTTTCTTCAGAAAATACCTGTTTATAACAATTTGAAAGAAAGCCTATATTGGAATTATCGCCGCCATTCCTTTCTGTGTTGTTTGTAGCTGAAAGACTGGAACGTCTGGATAATTTTTGTCTTGTAATTTCGAAGAAACAAAGGCCAAAATAAAAGTGAACTAACGGAGTTAAAAGTTTACGTATTTCCTGCCACTGCGTCAGTGGAGTATTTATACGTATCACAAAACGTGGTAAGTTAGTCGCATTTTGGATTAATTTACTGTTTTGTAGCGTTTAAAAATATTTCCAAACATATTTAATGAAGACCTTGGGCAAAGAGCAGGAGCGTTACCAAAAGACTGAGCAACAATACCAAAAATGACCGGTTCAACTCCTAAAAAGCAGACACTGTTTGGTGTTTGGTTTTTTTTTTTCCGGCGATGGTTATGAATCTAAAAGATATAAAATAAAGAGCCGAGAGAGCCCAGATCATCCTAACGGCTAAGGTAAAGAGCCAGGGGGAAATGTCCTGATTCTGCGTGCGCCTTTCTCCCCGAAATCTTTGAGCCGCTCTCTTTTCCAGTCCTGCAAGCGTAAATCTTCGGTTTGGGGATAATTAAGCCGTCCTCCCACCTCCACCCGAGCTAGCAGAAGGCAAAACCCGATGGTTTTTTTTCCTCCCCTTTAAATGAACGTTTAAAATAGATGCGTGTCCCACCTCTCACCGCATCCCAGCGCAGAGCCTCCAGATTAACTCTTTTTTTCCCCCCCCCCCCCCCCACCCGTATTTACCCCCCGCG